ATCTACAGACCTTAGCCCTTAGCCCATCCTCTCTATGTTCCCTCTCTCTGTCTCTTTTCCCATTCTGTAACACTCCCTTAGTAACCTTTCTTCCTATCACTTCATTGAACATGATTCAGTGGTGACTACACATGACACACACTGTCATTCCCGAGTCATCTCCTGGGTTCTGGAGCCAAAGTTCTCACTACAGAGTGAGCACCTGCAATTCGTTATCTAACCTTCCTCCTCTTCCCAGCATCTAAACACATTTGCTCTACCTTTTGTCCTTTTGGTTTTCTAGTCAGAGTCTCAACACATGCTCTGCTGCATTGCAAGGTAGAAATCCCAACAGTGCGCTGGATTCACCTCTCTCCTTTGCTGTCTAGTCTGTTGCCCAAATCCTCCTGATCTTTTCTCATACATTCTCTCTAGTCGGGGTCTCTCCATGCCTGCTGTCACAGTAACAACAGAGGAAACTTCGTGTGTGCATTCTAGATACTTGTCTAAGAAGTTCTCTTTCTCTCTCTCTCTCCTCAGTCTCACTCTCATTTAACATTCACAAGAGCCCCATGAGAGAGGTACCATTCTCCCCATCTCATAGTTGAGAACGTTTGGACACACAGAGGTGGAAAATCACAGTCAGGGAATGCCACGTCTGGCTCTTGTTTATAGACTTCATGCCTTTACTATAACTCCTGTCCTTAGGGTTGCCCACGTCTCTACTTCAACTGCATATCATGGGGCCTCTCTTGCATCAGTTCTTCATTCATCGTTCCCTCCCTTCTCACCCACCTCCCTCCAAAGCTCTTTCAGCCCATGAAACCAGCCACCCTCAAAGCTGCCTAGTGGTCCCCTGCTGCCTGGAGCAGAAACCACAGACTTCTTGGCTGGGCACTCACAGGTATCACAATCTGCTACACCCATGGCTCCAGCTGACTCATTCCATGTTGGTCTTCTCACGGGCCCCCCAGAGCTATGACCTTTCACACTTACTGTCTCTTAAGCCTGCACAGCCCTTGCTGACCCTTCCAGCCAAAGTCCTGCTAGCCTCTTGCCACACCTGATTCTCACACTCTCCTGGGACTTCCTTTGCAGTCTCCTAGAATTCTGCATTCTCATGCCTCTACAGGATCCATTGCTTAACAGTATGAGTCATCTTCTCACAAGCCTTCTATGCCTCTATGGGGCATGGAAAAATGGTAAACATTCAAAGAAGGAGTACCTGACTGTGGACTTCTTCCTGTCTCTCCCTCAATTTCAAATGATACTCATTGCTGGCTCTCACTGGATCACCAAAGCCAGATCATGCAGTTTACTTCCCCTAACTTTTCCAAAGCCCAGGGTGATTTTTTTTTTTTTTTTTTTTTTTGCTTTCTAAAGAGAAAGGGTGACCATGAAAAGTCAAGGAGTCCAGTGAACCAATCAGAAAATAGTACAAGGAAAATGTCAGCACAGATGTAAGGGATCTCGGAGATGGATACACCCACTCTTGGTTTCATTCATGAGGAAATTGAGACCCAGAAAGAGGTTTACGTAAGGGTAGTAACAGACAGATAGCACTGGAGCCCAGGAGTTCCGAGATCCAACCCAGGAGTTTTTGTATCCCCTTGGTGTCTCTCAACTCTGTCCTATCTCTCCTAACAAGCACAGTGTGGCCCTGCCTCTGGCTCCTTTGGCCTTCTCACCATTATATCCTGGATATGTTCAGAATGTTTCTGTGGGACCAGAAAGTTAGGTGCATGGCTCAGCATGGAGGCACTGGCTGAGCCTACATCCCTGGCTCATGTAACAGCCAGGGCTACAACTTATCCAACCCCTGCTGCGGCTTCCAGCTGCACTAACTGGCTTGGAGCCTTCTAGCTGAAGCTGAGCTTTCCCTTTGCCCCTGGGTCTGCCAGCTCCTTTCCCCTCCCGGCTGTCTCTATCTTCCCTTTACTCCCAAGGTAGCCACCTGAGCTTGTGCTCAGTGCTGGCCCCCAGACATCTCCCTGGGGATGATGCAGCAAGGCATCATGGGAAAAGCAGGCCCTAGAGTCCAAGATGTCAGTTTCTGGCTTAGCCATTTGGCCAATTGTGTGGTCTTTGTCAAAAGCCTTAATCTCTTAAATCCTTGCTGAAAAAAGGCAGGGCTGCTGGGAGGCAATTCCCTGAGCCTCATGACCTCATTGCTTTAAGTGGCGAGTAAAATGAGGTAAAGAAAGGCATGGCTGCAGAGTAGGGGCCCTGCGGCAAAGCCTGGTGGTAGCAATGGTGGTGGTGACAGGGTGATGTTCTTTCTAGATGTGTGGGAGGTGGGAAGGGGGAGAAAAAGGGGGAAGGAAGGCAGGAAGGCGCTCCCCAGCTCCCCACATGCATGTGTTGGGGCTGCTTCCAGCTCCTCCTTCAGAAGCCCCTCCCAACCTCCCGCCCCCAAGCAAAAGCTGTCCAGGTCTGCTCTGATTGCCAGGACGAAATCTGAACCCTTGCCAGTGAGGGAGGGAGGCACCCCTGCCACAAGGCTCAAGTGGGGTCCACTCCCTGCAGAAGCAAACAGGTGGGGAAACCAGACCCCAACAAGATACTTAAAGGCTCAGGGGCCTCCCTGCAGGCTACCTAGGACCAGAGGGGCTGCCCCAGCCTTGTCCCCAGCACACAGCCTGTGGGAGGGGGCAGTGGGCCGTGCAGCTGGCTGGGCTGGCAGTCTTGCTTGGTGTGGGGGATGGGCTCCCCACCATGCAGCTCATCCCGGGGTCTGGGGCAGTGAGAGGAGGATCCATGTCCTCGAGCAGAATGCACAGGCCCAGGCCTCATCCCTGCTCAGGATGCTCCTTCAGGATCACAGAACCTAGCAGCTCTCCTTCCCTCGAAGCAAATCTGGCCAAACCATCTGCTGGGTAAGATCTGCCTCATCTTTAAAGACCAGAGTAAGAAGCTGATTCTCCCATCTTCCTCACCTGGAGCTGTTCCAGGGTTTAAGCAGCAGCACTGACTGAAGGTCCTTCCTTACAGCTAACCTAGATCTCTTCACTGAAGCCTTTCTCTCTGTTGTAGGCCTCCGGCGTGGGGAAGGCGGCGGGGGTGGGGGCGGGGGGTTAGCATCCATTTGTGGGCAAATGACCCAGGTTTTCTAACCAAGTTGCAGAAGTGGCTTGCCTGGGAAGTTTGGGCTCAGGACTGACCGTGAAGGAGGTAGCCAGGTCCTTTTGGGAAACACTCCTGGTGCCTTCAAACTACTCTACAGATACAGAAGGACAAGGGCAAGAATGCAGCCCCATCCGAGACATTCATTGCCACTGCACACAGAGGAAGGCCCAGTGGCTACCCAGCTGGGTCAGCTGCCCTTCCCCCAAGCTATTGCCTCCCATCCTGCTCATCCTTCAAATGGTGCAAATATCACCATCTCTAAGAAGCCTACCCTGAGCTCCATGGAAGATTATTTTTGTAAGATTTATTTGAAAGGCAAAGTTACACACAGAGAGATGGTCCATTCACTGTTTCACTCTCCAAATAGCTGTAATAAGGCCCAATGTCAAAGCCAGGATCTAAGAACTTCATTTAGGTTTCCCATGTGGGTGGCAGGGACACAAGTACTAGGGACATTTTCCATTGATTTCTCAGCAGTATTAGGGAGGTGGATTGGAAGTGGAATAGCCAAGACTTGAACTGGGGCTCATGTGAGGTGTTAGTGTTGCAGGCAGAGGTTTAACCAGCTATGCCATAACACTGGCCCTTCAGGAAAAAATTAAGTATTCTGATTTTCTGATTGCTTTATTATACTATACTTACTATATTTGGAAAAGAGAGAGAACAACAACAACAACAATAACAACAACAAGAAATAGAGAATCTTTCATTTGCTTGCTTACTTCCCAAATGCCCGTAGCAGCCAGGGCTGGGTCAGGTCAAATCCAAGAGCCTGAAGCTCAGTCAAGTCTCCCATGTGGGTGACAGAAACCCAAGCACTTAAGCTTTCACCTGCTGCTTCACAGGGTACGCACTGGCAGGAAAATGGAGAGGACATGTAGGGGCCAGGACTTGAACCAGGCACTCTGACAGGCAATGTGAGAGTCCCTAGCAGTGACTCATCTATTGCACCAAACACCCCATCCTCTCATTTCAGCTTGATACTCCGCTTTCTACACACCAAACTAGGCTGTCTGTCTGCAGGTGATTTTTGTCCCTCTGCCTCTCTCCAGGGCCTGCCAGTGTAGCTTTCTGCTGGTCTCCAGCTCAATCCTCCTCCCAGCAGCTGCCCCAATGCCCCATCAGCCTCTGCCATCACAGCCTGTCCCAGGCTTCCAATCAGCTTCCAATGGCAAAGGGGACACCTTCTCTCGCAGCTTCAGCCTTTGCTTTACACACGTATGTCCATCCATCCAGCAATCTGCTCACTGCCACCTGCCATGCCCAAGGTCCTCCCTGCCACCTGCCCTTCCCCAGTTTGGCTCCCTCCCAGGGCACCAAATAGTGCCTTCACTCACCACAAACCCGCACCCCCCACCAACTCACCCATCCCCAGGGACTGGCTCCATGCTTGTTTTAGAGTTCTCTAGTTTCCCTAGCTGCAACCCCCCCATCAATGTCTTCTAGATGTAGGGTTTCTTGGGGAAACTCAGGCACTTCATGACTGGCTCCACAAATCCCTCTGTATTCAGTCAATCCTCATAAACACACTCACCCCAAATACAATACTAACTGAACTTCTGTACCTCTTAGCCTGTTCACAGCTGAGACTTCTGGTATATCTCGGGCTTGTGACTTCTGCTGAATACGTATGACCTACCAAAATTCTTGGAAGGGGGTGCTAAAGTGGAGGTTCCCAACATGGGTCGAGGGCTAGAGTGGGAGATTAGACTTGAGGGCCTTTCATCTTGAAAGCTAAGGGTTCTATCAATAGATGATTCAAGCTGTACTTAATCTCCTTTGTCACTCCCAACCAGACTGGGCATACATGACCCTCTCCATTAAAAAACAGAATTAAAAGAAAAAAGAACTAAAAACTTATGAAATAACCATTTTCTTCTGGCCCGAGTTCTTACCTGTCTGTTGAAATCTAGCCCATTTCGATCATTTCCTAGAAGAGATTAAAAAAAGCAATGAGTTGCCAGCAGGATTGGAAGAGGCTGAAGGTTAGAGGAAGACAAGGCTGCGGAGAAGAGCAGGTCTCTATTTAGGAAAAGGGCACCTGCTTCCCCCGGAGCCAGCATCCTCCTACTCATGCTGTTTCTTAGAAACACCTTTGGAAAGACTCCTCTGGGGAGAAGGGGAAGCAGGGAGTCAGGCAAAGAGGTCCCTTGGAGGAGGGCCCATTGCTAGTCAGAGGCATGGCTCTAGTTTCTGGGCCACAGGCACAAGCAGAGCCCAGCCTTGAAGTTTGAAGGAACCACCCTAAGGCCAGGAGTCCTCCCACCAGCTCAGTCCTGCAGGGATGCTGTCAGACAGGTGTCTTGTTCCACCCTTCCCCAACCCAACCCCACCACCAGCATTTACTTCTTCACTTAGTCCGTCTACTTCCTGTTATAATCAATACTGACCTAAACATGATCTCCTATAATAAAGAAACTTTTTGATATCCAAGTCTTGAAGTAGCAGGAAAAAAATCATGACTGGGAGACAGCCACCATGAATAGTCTATTTTATGCTTGTGTGCGCTGTCCTTCTTGGCTGTACAAAGGGGTCTTCATAAAGTTCCCGGCAAACACATATGAAAAAGTCGTGTGTGCATTTCAAAATTTTTTGCACCTAAATAAACCTTTTGGAAAAGAGAGAGAGAGAGATGTTTCTGGATTGGAAGTGAAGCAGTTGGGACTTGAGCCGGTACCCATATGGGATGCTGGTGTCACAGGCAGCAAGTTTATCACACTATGCCAGAATTCTGGGCCATCCATGAGATTTTTAGAAAGATTTATTTCTTTAGAAGACAGAATGACAGAAAACAAGGAAAAGACAAAGGCATCTTCATTCCCCTAAAGGGCTGTAAGAGCCAGGCTTGACCAAAGTCAGGAGTCAGGAACTCCATGGATAGAGTCTTCCACCTGGGATACAAGGACTCAAGCACTTGGGCTGTCTTCCATTGCCTTTCCAGGAGCATTAGCAGGGACTGGGATCAGAAGTAGAGCAGCTGGGACTTAGAACAGCCCTGCAATATGGGATGTTCACATCACAGGCAGTAGTTTAATCTGCTGGGTCACAAGGCCAGTCTCCTGAGCAATCTTGCATTCAGCAACAGCCAGAGCTGAGCCAGGCTAGAACCTGGAACCTGGAACTCCATCTGAGTGACAGGTACTCAAGACATGGGGCTATATCTGCTACCTCTCAGGCTTATTAGCAGGAGCTGGATCACAGGAGGGGGATGTGGGATTTGAACCTTCATTGCAGTAGGGATTCAGGCATCTTCAGAGGCAGCTTAACCTGCAGTGCCACAGAACTCAACCTCTGTGAGCTTTTAGAAGTCCTAGAGATCCTGGCTTCTGTTAACCTTTCCTACTTGGAATTTTGTCACTCATGATCCCCTCTTCCTTGTTCCCTCCCTGCCAATTATTTAAGCTCGGATCACATGGAATTCTTGCTGAAGTCCAAACAAGCCACACTCCTCCCAGTCACCTGCCCCTACACCTTGTTCTCTTACACAGCAAGGTAGTGCCTCCCTGCTCAGGACCTGGGAGGCCTGTCTCCTGGCCACACGGCATTCACTGTGAAACTCTTTACTTGCCTGTGGAATTCTCTCTGTCTCTTGAGTCTCTGACTGTTTTGAAAGCACTGGACAGGAACATGATCTACATGCCAGCAGGTGCCATAGAATGAGCAGGGGATACAACATGGATTGGAGGCTCAGGAACCACTTGTGAGAGCAGGGATGGGGAGCTAAGAGATCCTCTGTAGCTTGACTTAAGCTCATTTCCTTTCTACTCTGCTTCAAAGGACGCCTGAGAAATGGGTCCTTCCTTATGTGGCTGTGAGGCTCCGAGAGCAATGGGACCAGCACAATGAGAGCAGAATCAAAGGGATTATGAGATCCCAGGCCAAATATCGTGAGAAACAAAGCAAGCTCTACGGAGAAGCCTGACTTTGACATGCGCTGAGAGGGTATATAGAAACCTGCAAAGGAGCTCAAGGCGCAAAGAGTCCACAGGCTAAACAACTTGAACTTAAAGGGGTGGGGAAAGACTGTAAGACGATTTTTTTTTTTAATTTGGTAAATAGACACAGAGTCCCATCTTCTGATGCACAATCCAACTCCAAAAGCCCACAACAGCCAGCACCGGGCTAGGCCAAAGTCAGGAGCCAGGAACTCAATTCAGGTCTCCCATAGCGCATGCACCTTCACTTGCTGCCTCCAAGGGTCTGCATTATTCAGAAGCTGGACTTAGGAGTGGAGTCGGATGTTGAATCCAAGCCCTCTGATGTGGGACATGGGCATATCAAACACATACTCTACCTTTTCTTTTTAAAATGGCCCTTGAAGCAGTGATTTTAAAATACGTGGTAGGGCCCGGCGCGGTGGCGCAAGTGGTTAAGGTCCTCACCTAGCACGCCCGGGATCCCATATGGGTGCCGGTTCTAATCCCGGCAGCCCTGCTTCCCTTCCAGCTCCCTGCCTGTGGCCTGGGAAAGCAATCAAGGACGGCCCAAAGCTTTGGGACCCTGCACCAGTGTGGGAGACCCGGAAGAGGCTCCTGGCTTCGGATCGGCATAGCATCGGCCGTTGCGCTCACTTGGGGAGTGAATCATCGGATGGAAGATCTTCCTTTCTGTCTCTCCTCCTCTCTGTATATCTGCCTTTCCAATAAAAACATAATAAAAATAAATCTTTAAAAAAAATACGTGGTAAAAGAGCAAATTCATTAACTCAACAATAGTACTAAACACACGCTGGGTTCCAGGCACCATTCAGGCACTGAGGAAGGAATGTTGGAGGAGCCAGAGTGTGCAGGCTGGCTTCATGAGATTTCTTCTCTAGAAGAGATGCAGCAAGGCTGAGCAAAACATGTTTGCAGCGTTTCATGTAGAGAGCAGCACTGTGTAGAACATCGAGGTGCAAGCAGGACTGCCTGGGCAAGTCCTTGAAGGTGGTGCCAGGCTGGACCTGTCTGAGGTCAAGGCAAAGATCTCTCTAGTTGACAAGATCATGGCCAGAGACAGTATGAAGTTTGCCAACTGGCCTACTGCAGAACAAGCTGAGATGCAGGTGGGGGCAGCAGGGTGCGATGACGCCAGCCAGATGGGATTGCAGGCAGGTCATGGGGGAGTGCACTGGGGAAGCGAAGCAGATGGGCAAGACATGAGCCGATGTCCCATCTTATATCTACAGTGATCCACAAGAGGTGGGAAGGGGACTGACTGGGAGGCCGTGCCAAGGCTCTGGTGCAGGGAAGGCATAGAGAAGGGCCTAGATTCTGGACTGGCCAATGGAAGGTGTGGTCAGTGCAAAGGGAAACCAGAGTACTGAGGAGGAGGAGGAGGCCTTTTCCTTGGGAGGAAGTGGCAGTGCTCTTCACAGAGGAGGAGGAGGACTCCAGGAGAAGCAGGCTGGTGGCAGAAAAAATCCAAAATTGCATTCTGGACATGTTCCTTTTGAGGTGGAGAGGTGGGGAAGTGAGCCTGCACCCTGGGGAAATGTAAGATCAGGAAGTAGCCCTCAGCAGCTATCAGCTCCCAAGGGATATTTATTCCTTTATCTTAAAGCATTCGTGCATTTGTTTTGAAAGGCAGAGAAATGGAGATCATGACCTTCCATTTGCTTCACTCTCCCAATGCCCACAATGACCTGGCCTGGCCAGGCAGTGACAGCCAGGAGCCTGAACTCCATCCAGGGTTCCCACGTGGGTGGCAGGGACCCAAGGATTTGAGCCGTTACCTCTGCTGCCTCCCAGGCATTGACAGGAAGGTAGAACAGGAGAAGAGCCAGGGCTTGAACTCAGGGAACCTGATATGGGATACAGGCTTTCCAAGAGGCAGCTTAACCTGCTGCATCAAACACCCACCTCAAGTTCATGTTTAAAGCCTCATGACTAAGATCACGAGAGAACTGAATTCAGATTTTTTTTTTTTTAAGGAAAAGAGGTCAAAGAGGAGGATAGGGAGGGGTAGCTAGCTAAAGAGACTGAAAGAGAGTGGGCACTCAGGTAGAAGTTTGGTCGGATAAGCTTGGGAGGTAAGAGCAGCCGGTGCCTCCAGAGAAGGTAATAATACACACATGAATGAGACCCAGAAACAACAGAACAATAGGGGCTAACAAACCAGTGTGGTTTGGAGAAAGCTCTCAGGTTTGTGGATAATTAAAAAATGTCTTCACTTTTGATTCCTGCATATCCATTGTTACTGTTGCATGTGAAAACTGAGCAATGAACAGGCCAGCCAGCAGAATTCAGAGTCTGAACTGAAACCCACCAAGTGCTCTTACCCAGGGCTCATCCCAAGGTCCATCTCAAGAGGCCTCTCCCGTGAGGATGCACCTGCTGCCCTCTCAGCCCTGTGGTGGAGTTACTGCTTCTCATCCAATTCCCTCTTTACCTGCATCAGGCTCCCTGCCTCAGTGTCCTTGTTCCCTGGGCTAACTGAATGGGTGAACTGGAGGTGTCAGGGCTAGGAGATGCCCCAGGATGATGCCCTAGGAGATCAGGGAGAAGAATAACCCACAGCTGTCAGCATCGAAAGGACGGCTGAGTTTCCCAGAGTGGTTGCCACTCAATTCAAATTCCATGACAAAGCAGGCAAGAGTGTTCCCTGGGAACATGATATTTTCCATGGCTTCCAACCTAAGCAAAGGAGTGTGGGGTATCTGGAGGGGAGGGGTCCAGGCTAAGGAAGGTGGCATAGTGTAATGGAAGCATTAGGTGAACATCTGATTATAGAGTTGATTCTCCCTCCAGATCTGACCTCCTCAGGTCTCATTGTACAGCCACACTTGTTCCTGCTTCTCTCCATTTGTCTGCTGGATTTGTTCCATGTGGTGTCTCTCACCTACCCAGCCTGTGGGAAGGCCAGGGAGGTAGCACCTGCAAATCATGGGCCACAGTCTGGCTTGCTGGGGACAGCTGTTCCCCGGAAACTAAGAGCAAGCAAGGTGGGGTG